GGTTTGGCAATGTTGGGAAAGAAGGAGTTGGGGAGCTAGAAAATGTTAGTGTCTAGAGCTATCTGGCCTAACTGGCTAAACATGGCAGGTGTTGGAAAATCTGGAAAGATGAGGACATAAAGGGTGAAAGCACCAGCTCACAAGAGCCAATTCTGCACATCTCTTCCCAACTCAGTATTCAGTGACATCATGTTGATAGCTTGAGACTGGCCATGTGGAGTATTTACACCACAGAAAGAAGCAGATGCTACAAAACAAGGCTCCCCCCACAGAAAGTTTAACAGCACATCACTGCCTGAGCCAGTCCTCAACCAGCAAGCCCTTCAGTTCTCTGAGCAATGGCTGCACAGAGAACAAACACAAGCCAGGGTTTTGGCTTTATATCCATCCCAACAGGAAAGCCTAGGCCTCCTTAGCTGGGCTGGACCTTAATGAACCTTCAGAATTCTTTGGCCAAAGTAGGCAGGGACTTATCTAAGTGGCACCCTTTCCCCTAGGTCTGTCCCAGTTCCTGCCTGGTTTTCTAAAGAAGTAAAGGACTGAGGAAGGTACCCTTTTCAGCTGGGTGGAAATGGAGAAAAATGAGAAACTGACAAGGACAGGGAGCTGGATCTCCTCCCACACAGAAGCAGAAAGTCCCCATCTCTCTGACCATCAGAGACAAGCCCTCTGTGGGTTGTGCACTCATAACCACTGTTATACTGCCTCCTTGTAGAAGTCACAGGACTTGGTAAAGACCTAGATGCAGGTCTGGAGAGAGAATAAAGATTAACTCTCAGGTTTCAGGCTTAGATGTCCAGGTAGCCTACGGTGAGATGCAGAACATAGGAAGAGAAAATCAAAAAGGGTGTATGGGAGTTAGTGATAGTTCTGTTTGGGATTTGGTGAGTTTGAAATGCCTGTGGAACAACAAGGAGCCTTGGTGGGATAATGGTTAAGCACTCGGCTGCTACCCAAAAGGTCTGTGGTTCAAACCCACCAGCTAGCTGCTCTGCAGGAGAAAAGACGTAGTGATCTGCTCCCATAAAGATTACAGTGTAGGAAACCCTATGGGGCAGTTCTACTCTGTCCTATAGGGTCACTGTGAGTCAGAATTGCCTCAGTGGCACGCAACAAGGTGAAACAACAGAGACGTCCAATAAGTAACTGAGGGTTTGGAGTTCAAGAGAGTGGTCAGATCTTGGGAGTTACTGACATATAGAGGAACTAAAGCTATGAGATTTCTCGGCATTATAAAGGGCTAAGCAAAGACACCTGTTGTTGTTGTTAGGTGCTGTCAAGTTGGTTCCAACTCATAGTGACCCTATGTACAGCAGAACAAAACGCTGCCTGGTCCTGCACCATCCTCACAATCGTTGCTATGTTTGAGCCCACTGTGGAAGCCACTGTGTCAATCCATCTTGTAAACGGTCTTCCTCTTTTTTGATGATCCTCTATGCCTAGGGATACCGAGGGAAGAGCAACACTTAATGAGGAACCACAGAAGGCAACTGAGAGGGAATATTATAGGAGGTAGATGGAAACCAAGGAGCCCTGGTGGCAAAACAGTTAAGTGCTCAGCTGCTAACCAAAAGGTTGGCTGTTCTAACCCACCCAGCAGTTCCTCGGGAGAAAGACCTATCTATCTGCTCCCGTAAAGATTACGGCCTAGAAAACCCTATGGGGTAGTTCTACTCTGTCACATAGGGTTGCTATTACGGATTGAATTGTTTCCCCCAAAAACGTGTGTCAACTTGGCTAGGCCATGATTCCCAGTATTGTGTGATTGTCCTCCATTTTGCCATCTGATGTGACTTTCCTATGTGTTGTAAATCCTACTCTATGATGTTAATGAGGCAGGATTAGAGACAGTTATGTTAGTGAGGTAGGACTCAATCTACAAGATTAGGTTGTGTCTTGAGTCAATCTCTTTTGAGATATAAAAAAGAGAAGTGAACAGAGAGACAGGGGGACCTCATTACCAACAAGCAAGAAAAGCTAGAAGCGCATGTCCTTTGGACCCAGGGTCTCTGTGCTGAGAAGCTCCTAGGCCAGGGGAAGACTGATGACAAGGACCTTCCTCCAGAGCTGACAGAGACAGAAAGACTTCCCCTGGAGCTGACGCCCTGAATTCAGCCTTCTAGCCTACTAGACTGTGAGAAAATAAACTTCTGTTTGTTGAAGCCATCCACTTGTGGTATTTCTGTTACAGCAGCACTAGATAACTAAGACAGTTGCTATGAGTCAAAATAGACTTGTTGGCACCTAACAACAACAAGAGGAAACCAAGGGAATATTACATTGTAGAACACAAGGAAGGAGAAGAAGGTCAAATGTTGCAAAAAGGTTGAGTAAGATGAGGATTGAGATGAGAGAAACGAACATATTGTGGCTGGTTGAGAGTGAAGAAGAAAGTGGTAGGAGATAAGATTGAAGTAGGCAGATGCTACATCGGCAGGACCTTGCAGGATGTTAGGAGGCATTTGGGTTTTATTCTAAGTGCAATGGGAAACCTTCAGAGGGTTTTAAGCAGGTGAGTGAAAAAAAATCTGATCTGCATTTTTAAAACATCACTCTATTGTGTGGAGGATGGACTAAAGAGGGTAAGAGTAGAGATAGGGACACCAGTTAGGAAGTTATTGCAGTAGCCCAAACTTGGACTAGGATGGTAGCAGTGAAGGTGGTAAAAAGTGTTCAGATCCAGGGTACATTTTTAAAGAAAATCTGATAGGACTTTGCTAATGAATTTAATGTAGGGTAAGAGAAAGAGAGGAAACAAGGAGTATTGAAGTTTTTGGTTTGATCCACTGAGCAGATGGTGGTTCCAATTACAGAGGCAGGCAAGACTAGAGAAAAAAAACAGGTTTGGGGGACTAAAATCAAGAGTTTTATTTTGGCCATCTTAAGTATAAAATGCCCATTAGACATGCAAGTGGACATGCCAAGTAGGCAGTTAGCTATTGTGATGGTTAATGTTGTATCAACTTGGCTAGGCCATGATTCTCAGTATTATGTAATTATCCTCCATTTTGTGATCTGATGTAAGGGGAGCTTCCTTGGGGGTGTGGCCTGCATCCAATATATATGGATGTTCTGGCAAAGCTCTCTCTCTCTCTATCCTGCATCTGACTCATCATCATCTGACCTCTGGTTCTTGGGACATGAGCCAGTAGCCTGCTGCCTGACCTGTAGATTTTGGGATTCGCCAGCTCCTGCAACCATGTGAGCAAGCAGCCTGCCATCTGACCTGCTGATTTTGTGTTTGTCAGCTCCTGCAACCACGTGAGTCAAGAGAAGTCTCCAACCTGACGCGTGACCCACGGATTTGGGACTTGCCAGCCTCCAACTGTATGAGCCATTTCCTTGAAATAAATCTCTCTATATATGTATATTTATATACATATGCTTCACTGGTTTTGCTCCTCTAGAGAACCTAGCCTAAGACAGCAATCTGCATCTGGGGGCCAGGGGAGAAGTCACAGCTGGAGATACTAATTTTGAAGTTATCAGCATATACATAGCACCCAAAGCCATGAGATTGTATGAATATTAAAGTTGTTTTTCCCTTCTCACTTGATCTGAGAGAAGGTTGGGTGGTCCTTGATGGGGAAAGGTAAAGGGAGGGAGGGTTAAAGTCACTACCATTGGGCAGAGGAAGCTGGTCCTGGTAACCTGCAAGCTAGACAGGTCTAAAGACAATCCTGGCCTAGGGACTGCTTGCAGAAAAATCGTGCCAGTGAAGTGAAGACTTCACAGGAGAACTGAAGGATTTCCATCCGCACCCCTCCCCCAAAAAGGTTTTTCCCATTCTCTTTGTTAGTAAAATTAATTCAGAAGGAAGAAGAGAGAAGGGTGGCATTGAGGACACTTAAAATGTAAAGCCAGCAATGAGATTCCCAGCTGAAGACTGAGAGACTAAATGTGGGGGTGAATATGGCCATGCACCCCCTCCAAGAGTCAAAACTACTGCGAGTCGGCATAAATAGCGACCCACAGTTACAGAAAGCCAGGGGTTCAGAGAAGAGATCATACCCACTATTCTGCTACTAATGTGAAGAAGATGAGCACAAGCTGGAGAGCTTAGATCAATCTTTCCTTGATTCTGAGCAAACCAGATAAAAGAACTGAAGACCAGTGCTTCTCAAATTTTAATGTGCATTCGGATCATCCGGGGGTTTTGTTAAAATGCAGATTCTGATTTAGTAGGCCTGGGGCGGGGCCTAAGGTTCTGCATTTCTAACAAGCTCCCAGATAATTCTGTTACTGCTGGTCTATGGACCACACTTCGAGTAGCAAGGGACTAGAGGTAGCTGTGAAGGCCACCCACAACGGAGGGGGCATATCCAATTCTAGGGAGGATGTGTTTATTTATGCACAAAGTCACAGAACTTATAAAAGTGGAAATGCCTATCATTTTGCCATGGTTGTGATGCGGGCAGTCATTTCTTGGCAAATTACATCTTCCAGCAGCATAGCATAGTTGTTAAGCCCTTGGGTTCTGAAGTTTGACCTCCTATACTTCACCTTTCAGTAGGTACATGATCTTGGTCAAATCTTGTAACTTCTCTGCACCTCAGTTTCCTCATCTCTAATGGGACTAATAAGACTTTTGTGAGGATTAACTAAGTCAATAGATATAAAGTAATTAACACAGACAGCACATTAAGTGCTCAGTAAATGTTGCTATTCTTGTTAATATTATACCCTTCTACTATAGTTAATGTAGACACACACAGAGGCTTATTCTCTTCCTTTTGGTGAATGGTCAAAAACATAACCTCCATCTCCCTCCCACCAAAAGGTCCATGTCCTCCCTTTCAAATTCCTCCTACCCTCTTGTTCACTCCCCCTCCCCTAGCCCCTGGCCCCAGTGTGGTCTGGATGGGCCCCACAGGGGCAGGGACAGGGACAGGACGTGGGGCTGTATCTGACAGGAACCTGAGGGGCTGGCCCGGGAGGGGATTGGGGCCCGGCTTCCTGAGGGGAGGATGGGCTAAGGCAGGCACACAGTGCCGGAGAAGATGCCCTCCTGGGCCCTCTTCATGGTCACCTCCTGTCTCCTCCTGGCCCCCCAAAACCTGGCCCAAGTCACCAGTCAAGGTGAGGTGTGTGGAGGGTGGAGATCACCTATGGCCAGGAAGAGGGATCTCTGGGAGGGGATGCAGAGTAGGAGATTCCCACTGGTCCCCTACTCCTACTCATGAGCATGCATGGGAGGACCTAGAGCCCAACTCACGCTGTTCCTCAGATGTCGCTTTGCTGGCCTCAGACACAGAGCTTCTGAACTGTTTCTCCCAAACATTTGAGGACCTCACCTGCTACTGGGATGAGGAAGAGGCAGCACCCAGTGGGACATACCAACTGCTGTACGCCTACCCAGGGTATGTGCTGGGCGTGCCCCACTCTCCATATATCTGTTCCTGTACTCACCTCAGCTGAGTCCCACTCCAATATCCTCCCTCTCTGTGGCCCTATCAAGTACATGCACTAAGTAGCCACTTTATGAACAGATGTGCTTTGGTTGTGTGTGGACCCCAGCTCAAGCTCCTACATAACCCCTAATCACATCTATCCCAGGCACTGAGAAGAAAAATGGCAGTAATTGAAACAGAAGTTGGGCATGGGTCTAGAACTGGGTCCTTAGGGCTGAGCATGATGGCTGTGTAGGTAGGACCTCTCCTATGCCAACAGGGAGAAGCCCCGAGCCTGCCCCCTGAGTTCCCAGAGTGTGCCCCCCTTTGGAACCCGGTATGTGTGCCAGTTTCCAGCCCAGGATGAAGTACGCCTCTTTTCTCTGCTGCACCTCTGGGTGAAGAATGTGTTACTGAACCAGAATCTGACCCAGCGGGTGCTCTCTGTGGAAAATGTGGGTAAGGGCCTGTCACCCTGGCCCCTCCGTTTGCTGCCTCCCTCTGTCCCCTCCCCCCAAATCCAGTTCCTAGAGTCTGACTGGCCTATGCTTTTTAAGGATAACATGGATGTCCCTCATTACCAGACCCCCAGAGAAACCTCAACACCCCCTATCATTCCTCCCTGCCTTGGCATCCACAGCTAGACTTATCCCACGAATCATTTTGTACCACAGACACCCCAGGTCCTCCCATCATTAACATATTCATTCACTCACCCAGTCAACAGGTATAGAATACCTACTATGTGCCAGGCACTTGCTAGGTGCCAAGGATAAAGAGATGCAAAGAAATCCTTGCTCTCAAGGAGCACCAAGTCTAACAAACCATTGTGCCGCAATGAGATCACTGTTCTCGTGAGTAAAGAACAGGATAAAGAGCCTCTCTGACCTGGCCTCCAGGAGAGTCATGACCCGTGATGTTTTTGAACCCAGAGGCTGCCCCCAATCCAGCCTCTAGCACACCCCCACAGTCCATAGGTTGAATCATAGAGTGTACAGCTTAGAGAGTCATGACGTGCCCTGTCTTGCCTTCAGGCCTGCCAGCTCCCCCCAGTGTCATCAAGGCCATGGGCGGGAGCCAGCCAGGGGAACTTCAGATCAGCTGGGAGGCCCCAGCTCCTGAAATCAATGATTTCCTGAGATATGAGCTCCGCTATGGCCCCAAGGATCCCAGGAACTCCACTGGTTCCAGAGTCATACAGCTGCTCTCCACAGAAACCTGTTGCCCAGCTCTGCAGAGACCAAACCCAGCACCAGCTCTGGAACAGCCTCCATGTGCTTGGCCCACAATGCCCCAACAGGATGGATCAGAGCAGACCTCCCCAACTAGAGAAGTATTCCAGCCTTCTTCTGCTCCATCTCCTATCCCCTGCTCCCAATTTTGCCCAGGAAAGAACAGGCTATACTTTGGGCATTCCAGACTCAGTTGGCCCTTGGGAAATTAGTACAGGCTCTGATTAGCCTTCAGGAGCTATCTCTATTTAGGGGTCTCTCACACTGGACCATTCACACTGAACAAACTTGAGGGCCTTCAGGCCTCCAAATGAATAGAAACTTCCCTAAAATGCCCTGGACACTAGGCATTTTGCACCACAAACACACTAACTTAGCCCCTAGTCTGCGTACATACCTATCTAGTGAGGAGCTGAGATTCTCTCCACAGGGATGCTGTGGGCTTCAGATATAAGAGATGAAGGCTATGTTGACTGAGAGGCAGGCCCAGGTTCTGAGGCTGGGATTCTTCTTCCAAGGCTCCATCTCTGACAATGAAGGGTGGAAGCTGCCTCATCTCAGGGCTCCAGCCTGGTAACTCCTACTGGCTCCAGCTGCGCAGCCAGCCTGATGGGGTCTCCCTCCGTGGCTCTTGGGGATCCTGGTCCTTTCCTGTGACTGTGGACCTGCCTAAGGATGCAGGTGAGTCAACAAAGGAATGGGGAGATGGGAAGGAGAAAGAAAAGACCTCTAGGGAGGCCTGGGCTGGATATGGAATCTATGGAAACCATGGTCCTTCCTGATGACCTCAAACTTGCCATGGGCAGGATGAATTATGTTCAGGGAGAGCACAGAGAATAGGAGTGAATGTTCTAGGTTATGTGTGGAAAAATTATCTAGATACTCTATAGAGGAGGGGCACATGTTCCCTGATGGGACTTTCTTCTTTAACCTCAGTGGAAATTGGACTCCGATGCTTCACATTGGACCTGAAGAATGTTACTTGTCAGTGGCAGCAACAGGACTATGCTAGCTCCCAAGGCTTCTTCCACCACAGCAGGGCTCGATGCTGCCCCAGCGACAGGTGAGAGTTGAGCTGCTGATTGACTCGGATGTCACGGGAGAGAGTCACAGTCTTGCGGAAAGAAGGAAGAGACTGGTCTTGGTTCTCTTCACCCCAAACCAAACAGCTTTGGTCCTCTGTCCCCAAACCATCAGCCTCCGTGGTCTATCTTCTCATCCTCCAATAGGTATTTTATCTTCTCAACCTTTCTCTATTCCCCCAGGAATGCCTTGGTTTAGTTCAGCCTTAATTATGTCACCTGGATCATTGCAACAGCCTATAGTCTCATTCATCTCCAATTTATCCTGATGCTGCTGACAGAGTGATCTTTATTAAACTCAAACTTTGCATGATCTTTGTAAAACTCTAACTTTGCATGGCCCTCCCTAATCAAATATATACTGCAACTTCCTATTATCTATCAAATCCAATCAAAATTTAGCTTGACCTTCAAGAATTTCCATCAAACACCTCATTGATCCTTCACCCTCTCCATATCCAATCCATACCAAGTCCTATTGATTTTAACTATTAAATAGCTCTAGAATCTATCTACTTCTGTCTCTCACTGACATCACCCTAGTACAGGCCATTGTCATCTCTCACTTGGATTACTGCAAAGACTCATTAATTCTTGAATCCTCCAAATCATTCTCTTCCCCACATAGGAGCTGGAGTGATGTTTTAAAATTGTAAAAATAAACATAATACCCCTCTGTTTAAAAACCTTCAGTAGCTTTCCATTGATCTTAGGATAAAGAAAAAGCCCTAAAAGACTCAGCTCCTACCTATGTCTTCAGTTTAATTTTATAGGATGTTGTCCTTTACTCTCTACGGTCCAGCCATAGCGTTCTTTGGTTCCCTCATTTCTGTCGTATTCCCTTCAGCCTCTGGGCCTTTGCATGTGCTGTTTACCCAGACCTCCCCTCAACTTCTACTCATCCTTCATATCTCAGCTCAAGTGTTACTTCCTCAGGGAAACTTCCTCTGACCTCCCTTATTAGGTCAAATAGCACTTTTATACATTCTTATTGCACCATGTACCTCTCCCTTGTAAGTACTTACAGCTACAATTTTACATTTATGTGATTATTTGATTGATAATAAAATTCCCTATCAGAACTCTGGTTGAGAAAGACTGATCTAGACTATCTGATCCATTAAGGCAAAAAAAAAAAAAAAAACCCCAAACCCGTCACCATCGAGTTGATTCCGACTCATCCCGACCTTATATGGCAGACTAGAACTTTCCCAAAGGGTTTCCAAGGGTATATTCTTTACAGAAGCAGACTGCCACATCTTTCTCCCGCGGAGCAGCTGGTGAGTTCTAACCGCACTTAACCACCATGCCACCAGGGATCCTTCATTAGGGCAAAGTCAGTGTCAGTTTTTATTCACCAATGTATTCCTACTTACCACAGTGCCTGGAACATAGTAGGTGCTCAGTAAAAAATTGTCGAATTAACAAATAACGAAACAAACACTATTAGCAGTTTTAATGTATTCTTCCATTTTTTCTGTGCATTTATATACATCTATTGGAGCCCTGGAGACCTGGTGGCATAGTGGTTAAGCATTCAGCTGCTAACCCAAAGATCAGCAGTTTGAATCCACCACCCACTCCTTGGAAACCCTATGGGGCAGTTCTACTCTGTCCTATAGGATTGTTATGAGTCGGAATCAACTCAACGACAAGGGGCTTTGTTTTGCTTTTTATACACAATATTTAAGGAGCCCTGGTGGCGCAACAGTTAAGCGCTTGGCTGCTAACCAAAAGGTTGGAGGTTTGAACCCATCCAGTGGCTCTGAAGGAGAAAGATGTGGCAATCTGCTTCCGTAAAGTTTACAGCCAAGAAAACTCTATGGGGCAGTTCTACTCTGTCACACGGGGTCACTATGAGTTGAAATCAACTCGACGGTACCTAACAACATATACAATATTTAGTTTTTTAATAACAATTGACTCATGTTATATGTATGGGTTTGTTAACATACTTTTTTTTACTTTAAAATGTTTTGAAGATCATTACAAAAAGACGTAATTCATTCTTTTTAATAACTGCATAGATTCCCATAGTATAGAGGTGCCATGAATAGATTAAAGGGTGGCAAAACTAAAGTCATCCTTTCCCCTACCGAAACCTGCCCCTGCTCTTACTGTCCTCCATCCTACCATCAAGTCCATTTTCCTGAAACATGGAAATCACCCTAAACTTCTCCCATTCTTAAACCCTCCAGGCCCAGTCAGAAACACTCGTCATTTCCTTCCGCTTCAATATCTTTTGAATCCATCCATTTCCCTCTATTCCCACTGCCACTACCTTATTTTCAGACCCTCCTCACTTTACACATGGAAAACCACAACAGTGTCTTAATGGATTTCTCTGCCTGTAGTCTCTCCTCACAAATTCTTTCTATAAAGTGCAACTAGAGTGATCTTCCTAAAGTGCAAAGTGAATTATGACACTTCCCTACTTAAAATCCTTAAATGTATCCATAATTACTGCAAAATTAAGTTAGGCTCCTTGGAAAAGCCACAAGGCATCCATGAAATAGTAGTCTTACATTTATCATTAGCCACTATTCCGCACCACTTAGACTTTCCCCAAAGCACCATTCTCTCTTATCTGTGCACAAGTATGTGCCTGGGATGCCTGTTACTTCCTTTTGCCTATCCTATTGCTAATCCAAGACTCAGTCTAGGCACTGTCTTGTCCAGGAAGCACGCACTGACCCTCCTGGTCTGGGTTACTCCTCCTTGATGCTCCCAAACCAGCCTGTACACATCACGGTAGAATGTCATCATCCTTTTCTGTCTCTTCTACCGAAGTGACAGCTCCTTGAAGATTATTCGTCTATGTACTCATAGGGCCTAGCACAGTGCCTGGCACATAGTAGCAATTATTGGTTGAATACATGAGTAAACACACGAATACATGAAGTGATCGATCATTTTAGTGATGAGGAACCACTTAGGGACTATAATCAGGAGGGAGTCATGATTCATTTATTCAATTAACAATTATTGAGGATGACTCTGTGCTCTGGGGCTAGATTGACAAATAAAACAGAAAAGATTCCAGCACTGTTGGGCTTATGTTTTAGTGGGGATGGGAGAGAGAAACAAGTAAGGAAATAAAGGAATGACGTTATATGATAGAGACTAGCGGGAGGGTGACCAAACCCAAAAACACTCATTGCTGTCGAGTTGATTCCGACTCATAATGACCCTATAGGACAGAGTAGAACTGCCCCATAAGGTTTCCAAGGCTGTCATCTTTACAAAAGCAGATTGCCACATCTTTCTCCTGCAGAGCAGCTGGTGGGTTTGAACTGCTGACCTTTCAGTTAGCAGCCAAGGGCTTAACCACTGTGCCACCAGGGCTCCTAGTGGCGGGGGGGGGGCGGGCTAATTTAGAGCAAGTTGTCAGGAAAGCCTCACCAGAGACATGACAGTGAGCTGACACCTAAATGGCAAGAAGGAACCAACATGCGAAGATCTAGGGTCAAAACAGTCCAAAGCAAAGACAAAGTGCATTTGGCGTATTTGTGGCACAGAAAGAAGGCCCATGTGGATGAAGGGTGGTAAATTGGCATGAGAATTGTAGGAGATGAGAACAGCAAGGTAGGGAGGAGCCAAACATTATAGAGCTCTACAGGCTTTGAGAAGGAGTTTGGATTTTTATTCCAACTGGGATGAGAGTTTAGCCACTGAAGGATTTTAAGCAGAAAAGTGGCATGATTTACATTTTTTAAAGTTATGTTTCTCTGAAAAATTATAAAGAAGTAAGAGTACAAAAAAATTGTACTGTTAGGAATTTGCCTTAATCCAGGCAAGAGATAATGGTGGTTTTATCTAATGTGGCAGTGATAAAGATCAAAAAAAATGCACAGATTCATGATATATTCTGGACATTATCTGATCAACACATTTGGAAGCAAATTCTGGTAGCAGCGTGGAGAACAAATTGAAGGAAGTGACAAAAATGGAAGCAGAAAAGCAAGTCAGGAGACTGTCATAATAACCTGATAGAGAAGTAGCATATAAGAGTGAGTGAGAGGGCTACTGTATGAGAACAAATTAAAAACATAGGGATGATTTTGTTCAGAAAGATGAAGGATTTTTAATCCTTGAAACAGTCCTGTGAGGTAGGTATTATTAACCCATTTTACAAATGAGGAAACTAGGGTAGAGATAAAGTAATTTGCCCAAAGTTATACACCAGTGAGCCAAGATCTGAACTCTATAGCCCATGCTATTTTCATGTATCATGCTAGCTCCTTCCTCAAGAGGAAGAGGCTGGACACCAAAACAGGCTTCAGAAGACAAAACAGCATGGCATGAAGACAGAGGGAAAGACTTCCCATCATCCAATTCACGGGGTTGATTCTCATCCAAAGGAGGAGGTGGATTATAATCTATGAAGGCCATAGTGCCCATGCGATAGGGGATTATTGGGATTAGGTTCTGGGGCATGCCTGATTCAATGACTATGGGAATTGTTCTTAGGGACCCCATCTGGGAGAAGTGTGAAGAGGAGAAAACAAATCCAGGATCGCAGCCTCCCCAGTTCTCCAGCTGCCACTTCAAGTCACAAAATGGCAGTGTTATTCACATCCTTGTGGAGGTGACCACAGCCCAGGGTGCTGTTCATAGCTACCTGGGCTCCCCTTTCCGGATCCACCAGGCTGGTAAGAACTTTCTTTCCCATCCTCTCACACAGTTCTCATCCCCACCAAATCTGTCCCCATGCCCAGGATCCCCAACTCTGACACTTCTGACCCATGGCCCTGGTGGCATGATGCCTCATGCACAGAAGGGCTTAAGGCAGTCCCTGCTGATGTCCCTGTAGTGCTCATCCCCACCCCAAACTTGCACTGGAGGGAGGTCTCCAGTGGGCATCTGGAACTGGAGTGGCAGCACCCTTCATCCTGGGCAGCCCAAGAGACCTGCTATCAGCTCCGATACACTGGAGAAAGCCATCAGGACTGGAAGGTATGGTCAAGGGTCACATGCCCACAGGCCTTACTACACAGGGTATTCCTGAGTTTCACCATGTCTGTTATCAGGAGTGAAGGTGCCTATGTATCTATGTCTAGGCTTATATATATATATGTTTATCTAATTCAACCAATATCTTGATCTCTCTTTGGCATCTGACACTGCTGGCTACTCTCATTTAATATTTTCTCTTCCCTTTTTTGCCTTTGGGACATCAGTCTCTCCTGATTCTCTTTCTGCCTCTTTGGCTGCTTTCTCATTCTCCGTTCCTGGCTCCTCCTTTTCCATCCTTCTTTAATATGTTATGCTTCCTAGAGTCCCATCCTGGGCTCTCTTATCCTCTAGATAAATTTACATGTTCTTCCTGGGTAAGTGCTTCAGGTTTCATGGTTTTAATGACTATACATGAATGATCTTAAATTTACCATTCCAATCCCCTTATGGAAAGTAACTTACATACTATAGGCAAATTACCTAAACTTTTGAAGTCTGTTTCCGCATTGGTGAAACGAGCATAAAGCTATCTACTTTACAGAATTATAGTAAAAATTAAATTCATAAATACCTAGCATACTGGCTGACATATAGAAGGTGCTCAACACAAACTAAATATTTTTCTCTTCTTCTATTCTCATTTGCCACATATATATCCAACTTCTTATCAGACAGCTCTACCTAAAAGTCCCCTAGGCATTTCAGACCCAGCGTATCTAAAACTGAACTCATCTTCCTCCCCTCCAACTTATTTTACTTTTTTATTGAGATATAAATGCACAGTTAATTTGTACATGTGTATACATTCATGTAACCACTATGCAGATCAAGATATAGATTTCCAGCACCTCAGAGGCTCCCTTATGTTCCCAACAATCATCACTCTCTAAAGGTAACCACTAGTCTGACATCTATTATCATCGATTAGTTTTGACTATAGTTGAACTGCATATAAATAGAACCATACACTGTTTCTTCCCCAAACTTACTTCTGTTCCCTGTTGCTGACAATGGTACGGCCACTTATCCAGTTACCCAAGTCTGGAATTATACTTGACTCCTCTTCCATTTTCTTTATCCTTTCCTCCTACTTATCAAAAAGTAAGTTGAGTATATTGTACTAACAGTCCTCAAATCCCTACTACCACTGCTTTAGCCTCATAATTCACCATCCAGCCTGCTCATTCTATGCTCTTAGCACAGAACTACTAACTGGAACCCCCAACCAAGCAACTCAAGCAGCATTAAATGCTCTCTTCTTTGTGCTCCCATGGTGTCTGGCTTATAACGTTATATCACTAATTAGCTGTTTCCGTTATTTACTTGGTTGGCTGTCTCCCTCATTAGACACTGAAAGATCATCTTTTTTCCCAGTGCCTACTTCAATGTTTGGCATACGTATGCAGTTCATGTCTGCCATGATTAAGTTAAGAAATCAAGTCTCCCTGTTTATACATATGATGATTGCTCCCTCTGCTTGGAATGTGTCTTTGTGCCTCCCGCACCTAGTACATTTCTAGTATTCTCAGTTGAATGAGAATTACTGGTGGCATGGTCTACATGGCTCTGAGTACCTGGAGTTCTGGTGAGAGTATCTCTGCCAGGACTTTTGCGTCTCTCGGTCAGAGTATATCTGTACTAGGATCTCTGTTGAGGGTGTACTATATGAATGTGTGCCAGGATGAGTAAGTAGTTCTCTGTGAAGATGAGGTCTGTGTGTCAGGGTGTGTATCCTGCGGTGTTTCAGTCAGGCTAAGCGTGTTTCTCGCAGGTAGGGAGTGCTCTGGGAAAGGCGAGGCCCGTTTCTGCCATATGTGCATTTTCTGTCAGTGAGGCTCTTTGTGTTGTTGTTCGGTGTCGTCGTCGAGTCGGTCCCCACTCCTAGTGTTCCTATGTACAACAGAACAAAACACTGCCCAGTCCTGCACCATTCTCCCAATCGTTGCTATATTTGAGCCCACTGTTGCAACCACTGGCATCAATCCATCTCGCTGAGGGTCTTCCTCTTTTTGGCTGGCCCTCTACTTTACCAACCATGATGTCCTTCTCCAGGGACTGGTCCCTCTGATAACATGTCCAAAGTATGTGAGGCGAAGTCTCCCCAACCTTGCTTCTAAGGAGCATTCTGGCTGTACTTCTTCCAAGACAGATTTGTTCGTTCTTCTGGCAGTCCATGGTATATTCAATATTCTTCGCCAACACCGTAATTCAAAGGCATCAATTCTTCTTCGTGCTTCCTTATTCATTAACCAGCTTTCACATGCATACTAGGCGATTGAAAATACCATGGCTTGGGTAAGGCCCACCTTAGTCCTCAAAGTGACATCTTTGCTTTTTAACACTTTAAAGAGGTTTTTTGCAGTAGATCTGCCCAATGCAATACGTCATTTGATTTCTTTACTGCTGCTTCCATGGGCATTGACTGTGGATCCAAGTAAAATGAAATCCGTGACAACTTTTCTTTGTAGGGATCCCCAATATCTCTGGAGTTCAAAAGGGGTAGGATTTTGGTCAAACAATATCAGGCTCTCAGAGGCCCCGACGCCCGCCCACCGGCATCCGACCACTCAGCACGCTTCTCCTCTGCGCAGGTACTGGAATCCCCTCTCGGGGCCCGGGGAGAAACCTTGGAGCTACGCCCGCGATCTCGCTACCGGTTACAGCTGCGCGCCAGGCTCAACGGCCCCACCTACCAAGGCCCCTGGAGCTCCTGGACCGAGCCTGTGACAGTGGAGACTGCCTCCGAGACCGGTGAGGGCGGCCAGCAGACCCGGTCTGCGGCTGCGCGGGTGGAGGGGCCACCCCCCCCCCACCTCAACGCAGAGGGGGTGGGGCTCTGACCGGACCGATCTGCGGCTGCGCTGATGTCCGTGGTGCCCGGTGGCGACGAGGGGCGAGGCCGGGCTAGAGTGTGAAGGTCCTAGGGGTGGGGCTCAGGCCAGGGTCGGCCAAGGTCTGACTGTTTTTGCCCTTTAGCCTGGATCTCCTTGGTGACAGCTCTGCTCCTGGTGCTCGGCCTCAGCGCTCTCCTAGGCCTGCTTCTGCTGAGGTGGCAGTTTCCTGCGCATTACAGGTACTGCCCCTGCCAGGCGGGAGACCTTTAAACAAGTATCCCAGGGTCAATCTATGATGCCTTCTCTCCGGATAACCGCACGCCCACACCTATGGCCTCAGCCGCTTCCTGCATGTCGCCCTGGCTCCTTACATTCCAACATACGCACTATACTAGATACCTCAAACGGACCTCCTCCTGGCTCCTCATCTCAGTAACAGGGCCACTGTCCACCGTCCAGGCCAGAACATGAAGGCGCCTCCATCCCCCTCATCCAGTTAGCCATCGGGTCTGGTCATTTCACTTCTAAACCTCGCTCGAACAATGGCCCCCTTTCTCAAGCCCTGCAGATCCTCTTCATTTCTCACCTGACTCAATGAAACAGCAGTGTTCCAGTTTAGCATATGTCTCAATCCTCTCCTCCCTCCAACCCAGCCTCACACAGCCACTGGCATAATTTTTTTAAAAAAAACACACATGGACCTATCACTCCCATGCTTAAATCTCTTGAATAGCTCCCCAGGGCAGAGTCCAGACTCTGTAAAATGACAAGCAAAGCTTTGCAAAATCTGGCCCCTGCCAGCATCTCCACTCTCTCCCACCCTGTGCATCAGCCTTGCCAAACTGTTGGTGATTTCCTCCACAAGTAAGGTGGTTTTACTTCTCAGTGTCTTTGCACATAATATCCCCTGTGCCTGGAATACCCTTCTTGGCTAACTAATACCTGTTCATTTTAAATGACTCTTCACCAACTCTTAAGAAAACTTTCCTGACCCTCCCCATTGACCACTCCCTTTGAGGCCCAATACAGACTTCTATCATAGTACCAGTAGCATTTTCCTGCACTTATTTCTGTACATTTACCCTGTTATACCTTACTTGGTCATCTTTAAATCTTTAGCATCGTGCTTGCCAAATAACAGTCCTTTAAATAAATGTTATTAATGAATGATTCTTTTATGTGGGAAGATTACGGCTGAGGAGAAATGTTACTGGAGGTTATAAACATGAAGGATAGAGCCATCCCACCTCAGTCCTTCAATTGTAGATCGAACAAAAAAAAAGTTGGGGGAGAAAATGGGACAGGAAGTTCCTTCTCCCTAGTTTACCAATCAGATAAGTCTCTCCTCCTAACTTTGGAAAGGTATGAGTAAGGTCACAAAAGAGGCCTGAAATGTTGTTCACCTAAAGTCCCTCCATGTAGAAATATAAGACTAAAGAATTGAAGGTTCCCGCAATACACTTTAACCCATACTCTTCCCAGATAGACCACCCTCGCCAGTAATTTATTAATTAGCCCCACTGGTTCCCTCAATTCATTCATTGAACTTATTACTTGAGCACCTGTTATGGGCCAGACACTGTTCTACACCCTAGAGACGCAGCAGTGAACAAATAGACCAAATCTTTGCTCTGTAGCGCTTAGATTCTAGTGGGGTAAAACAGACAAAACAAATGTATATAACAATAAACATACAAAAAGTCAAATACTATAAAGAAAACTAAAGCAGGGCAAAAAGAGAGTTATGGGAATGGGAGGTGGTACTGTTTTAGACAGAGGAGTCAGGGAAGGCCTCTCGGTCAGGATGACACTTGAGCAGAGGCCTAAATGAAGTGAGGGAACAAATTGATTGTTCAGGCAGGGGGAACAAAGTGCAAAAGCCCTGAAGTAGGAATGTTTGAGGAAACCCCACACCACCCTTTTATGACCCTCCCTAGCACTGTCTCCCATCCCCCCCAGAGGTTTTCTTTTCACTTAGTACTTCTCTACATTAGTACTTTGATTATACTTTTACCTCTCCAAGACTTACCCCCCTACCTAACTGCCTTCACCTCCTCGGTCCCCTCCTCATCCCTCCCAACTCACTCCTGTGACTCAGTCTTCTTCTCTTCCGTCTCCCCAAGGAGCCTGAGGCATGCCCTGTGGCCCTCACTTCCAGACCTGCACCGAGTCCTAGGCCAGTACCTTAGGGAGACTGCAGCCCTGAGTCCAGTGAGTGCACTGTCCTCCCCACCCTCACGACCAGCCCTACCTTGCCCCCATGACAACTTTTCCAAGGCTCTTGACCACAAGGTACCATCCCCAGGACCTATCCCTAGCCAAACCCTCCTTCCTACACAATCCAGCCCCCTCTCCCACAGGACCCACTCTAACACAGTCCCCTTTCTTCCCATCTTTCCCAGCCCAAGGCTGAAGTCTCAGATGCCTATGAAGAAGTGGAACCCAGCCTCCTTGAAATTCTACCTAAGCCTTCGGAGAGGACTCCCTTGCCACTGTGTTCCTCCCAGGCCCAGATGGACTACCGAGGGCTGCAGCCTTCTTGTCTGGGCACCATTCCCCTGTTTGTGTCCCCACCCATGGCTGAGTCGGGGTCTTGCTGTACCACACACATTGCCAATCATTCCTACTTACCACTAAGCTGTTGGCAGCAGCCCTGAGGGCAACCTCACCCCCGGTACCCTGGAAAGACCCAAACCCTTCAGTGCCCTCTGAGAACCTCCCCACTCCATCCCCAATCACAAACGCCTCTGACCTCACCTCCATCTCTCTCTCTCTACACTCATAGTTGGGCTTCATAATACTGATCTTACTGTACTGCTGCTGACATAAATCCAGAACCCTTTCTCCACAGGCAAAGTTCATTTAACTAAGCCCTTCTAACTTTTACCTTCTTTCTCTCTCCTTTTTAATGCCAAGCTCCTTGAAAAGAAGGAGCATCTTTTCTTCCCACTTCCACTTATTCTTCAATTAGTTCCCCTACCACCACTTTGCTAATGAAACTGCTCAGGCAGTTTCACCTCAAACCAATTTCAAGATCCAATAGGATCTTGTTAATCGTCAGTGTACTTGATCTCTCTGTGTCATTTGTCATGGTTGACTACTCATTTCTCCTTTAAATTCTCTTCTACCTTGGCTTCCATAACACTGGCTCTCCTGGCTCCCCTCCTGCCTCTCTGAGTGCACTAGTGGTTAGAAGGATAAGCTCTGGAGTCAGAGCTGGGTTTAATTCCTGTCTTTGCCGCTTGCTAGCTGTGTGAAGGTGGGCAAATAATGTCTTTGAGCCTTAGTTTTCTCATCTATAAAAAAGGAATAATAATAGTACTCCCAGAGTAGTCATAAGGATTAAATGAGATAATCTAAGTAAAGCACTTAGCGCAGTGCTGAGGACCCATAATGCTTAATATATCTGTCTTAGTTATCTAGTGCTGATATAACAGAAATACCACAAGTAGATGGCTTTAACAAACAAATTTATTCTCTCACAGTTTAGGAGACTAGATGTCCGAATTCAGAGCACTGGCTCTAGGGGAAGGTTTTCTCTTTCTGTTGGCTCTGGAAGAAGTTCCTTGTCTCTTCACCTTCTGCTTCCTGGTTCCTTGGAGATCTCCATGTGTCTTGGCGTTTATCTTACCCCGTCTCTGCTTCTTATCTTGCTTGTTCAATCTTTTTTATATTTCAAAAGAGATTGACTCAAGGTACACCTTACGCTAGTTATGCCTTATTAACATAACAAAGACAGGCCATTCCCAAATGGGATTGTAACCACAGGCATAGGTTAGGATTTATAACACATATTTCAGGGGGACAAAATTCAATCCATAACAATATCTAAACTACTATTGTGATTGTTTCTTCCTAATCTCTTATCCTGGCATCTCTTCCCACTCTTTAATTATTATAGTCCCTCAAGATTCTATCCTAACATATTCTCCAATCCCATCTATTCCTGGGCCTTTAATATATGCTGACCATTCCAAAGTTCTTATTTCCAGCCCAGACTTCTACTACAGCACCTAGATACTTTATGCAACTAATTGTTTACATGTCTTTCTCCTGCTACTAGATTGTGAGCTCCTTGAGGACAAGGGCCATGATTTGTTTTTTTTCCCCCAGCACTTAGAGAGGTACTTGGTAGTAGCCCTTCACTAAATGTTTCTAAATGATTGAAATCTTTCTGGACAATGCCACCTTACCCCCATGCCAACTTCCCTCATCCTCTCTAATCCTTTCATATGCATCAGCAAATGTGCTTAGGCCATTCTGGTTATGGATTCCGCTAACTCATTCAAATTCTCAAATAAATTTTTTTTTTTTTTTTTTTTTTACTGGCTTCAAACATACTATATCAGTCAGAGTAGAGTCTTGGCAGAAATAGATGGCACACTCAAACTGGGTAATTTAAGGAGACTTTAATGAATGGTGCATTTAAAAGATGAAGGCAAGATTTAGGAAAACCATCAGGAAACAGTGCAGTACCCAGAGCTAACAACAGCAAGGAGATGGTACCACCCCTAGACATGAAGGGGCAAGAGGAGGAAGTGGTAACCAGATTCTGGAGAGAGCAGCTGTAAGAGAGGGCTGCCTGGCAGGAGTTGCGGTCTTAGGTAGAGGGAAGCAGTCACCCTTTGGGGACCTAGTGAGGAGAGAGCGAGGGGAATAAACAGCTCAAACTCACTCTCCTCCTACCCTGTGATCTCCCACTGGTGGGACCCAAACAGAAACCGGAGACCAAGAGAATTCATTGATGCAGGCCATATGGGTCAGCCTCGAAGGGCAGAAGTAGGGACAGATTAGCCAATAAGTAAGGTAAGCACATGCATAGGGCATCAACAAAACAGGGGGACCAGTTGTCCAAAGCAAAGATCCATAGATGCTAAGCAGACAGGACAAAGGGAAAAGTTAGCCCCGCAGTGGAAGGAAACTGACAGGGCACTAAATGACATTGATAAGATTTTATAAATTTTGTGTACGATAACAATTATATTTTCCTTTTCATTTCGGACCGATTGTGTATAACTTCACATTCAGTTCTCTCTGGTCGACCACATAAGAACACACCAGCGGCACTATAATCACGTGACTCATGACGTATCTGGTCCTGCACAAAGTGAACCAAAACATGTCTTCAGATTGAGCATAGCCGTATATTTGTATTCTGCTCTTTGCGATCGCTCTCGCCCCCGATGGGTATCAGCAGTAGTCAAATGAACTGTGACAACCCAGCATCAAAGGACAGAAATGAGTGCGCAAGTTTTTAAATGTTATTTCAAGATGAAAAACACTCATGGAGATCTGCCATGGGCCCGCCAAAATTATAAGACAAACGAATGAAATTATTTCCAGCTGCCTTATAAGTCCTCTTTCTTTTGACTATCTCAGAACTGAAGAACAAAATTACATTTTTCATTTTTTTAACATTTATTTTCAAATACAAATTTTTTTGTGTTAACATCCAAATTCGAATGTAAATTTTATTTTATAAATTTTATTTATTTTCAATTTTTCAGGTTCATTTGCTACAGTAGAACCATTTTTAAAATGACATAATTTTATATCCAGGTAAAATGAAACAGAAACAACCAAGTGGAGCGCAAAAACAAAAACTTGCAGAAGATAAAAAGTAAAGGATTTGTGAATCCCTAAAGACGCTTACAAAATTAACTTCCTTTTTAAAATGTAATGAATCAGAAGATACTTCTTCTGTTTAATGGGTGCAAATTAAACCACTAGTGCTAAAATTACTAATAGCAATACGAATATAACAGAATTTGTTCCAAATTCTGCATCCATTCCCTACAGTAGTAAAAAAATTCTTGACAGTGTAGACAGTGAAACTATTTTAGAATCTGAAATTGTTGCATCTGCAGACCCTATAAGTAACAGAAATACAGATCCTGCTTTGTTGAATAATTTTTCTTTTAATGATGTAAATTGTTGGATTGAAGGAAGGCCAAGTGATTGTCAACATCACGTGGACCGTATGTAAATTCATGTCAAAAATTTCTGGATGGTAAACAAACAAGGTTCTATAGCCAAAATATATTTCTAGGCTGCAAAGCCAACAGTGACAATTTTAAGGAGTGGTTACTGTATTCTCCCTCAGTTGGCTCTGTATATTGTTTCATTTGCAAACTATTCAGTGCTAAATCATTTAATTCTCCATTTGCTACAGATGGATTTAGCGATTGGCGCAACTCAAATATTACTGATAAACATGAAAACAGTTCAATTCAAAGATTTTGTATGTTGTCATATTTAAACCAGAGACATGGTTTTGGCTTAACTAATGAACTGGAAATACAAATTAATGAAGAACATCAGTATCGAAAAGCTGTTTCACTACGCGTTGTTCCTGTCATGGCAATCACTGAACGAGGACTATCTTTTTGAGAAAGAAATGAAGTGTTTAGGTCCCCACAAAATGGAAATTTTTTGTGTTTGCTTGAACTTGTTGCTCAGTTTGATCCATTTTTAGCAGGTCACATCCCAAAATATAGTAACACAGAAAAGGGCAACCCATTGTATATGTCTAAAACAACATGTGAAGAATTAATAAACTTAATAAGTGATAAAGTTCAATCAACTATTTTCAGTGAAATAAGTATAGCTCGATATTTCAGTTTGTCTGTAGATTCCACTCCTGATCTTTCTCATACAGATCAACCAAGTATTGTTTTAAGATATATATCTCCAACGATGGAAAACCTGTAGAGTGATATATCACATTTACTAGCTTAAAAAGTCATACCAGTGAAGAAACTGCAAATCAAGTATCTCACTATTTAAGTGAAATTTTCAAAATTGATTTTTTTAAGTGCAGAGGCCAGTCCTATGACAATGCTGCCCATATGTCAGGGTGTTATAAAGGCATGCAACAGAAAATTTTAGAATGTGCTAAATATGCCGTTTTCATACAATGTGCTGCGCATTCACTTAACCTTGTAGGATGTAGCGATTGTTGTCCAGAAGCAGTTGATTTTTTCCTACTGTTCAGTGACTCTACGCATTTTTTGCTGCCTCTACTAACTGATGGGCAGTTCTTAAAACACATTTAGACAATAATCCAGTATTAAAATGTCTTTCTAATACACATTGCGAAGCATATGCTGTAGCAATGAGTGCAATCCTGGAATTGTACACTTCGAAAATATTGCTGAAGACCAGACACAAAAAGGAGATACCAAAAGAGGAGCTGAGAACATTGCCAACAAAATGCAAACACTAGAGTATTTATGTTGGTTATGTGGAATAATATATTGCAGTATTTTCATCGGATGAGTCAAGCTATCCAAGATTCAGAAGTAAATTTAAAGACAGGCACAGATCTCTACGAGTCATTAACAGGGGATTTAAATAATTTAAAAGAGGATTTTGAAAACAACAAATACTGCCAAATACTGATTATCAAGCAGTTCACCATTGCAGAAGCATTAGAAAGAAACAGGTAAATGATGGAAGTTCTCCAGAAGTATTGAGTGCCAGAGATCAATCTCGTGTAACCACATACTACACTGTCATTGATGTACTTGAATCTTGCATGAAAAGAAGGGCAAAAGTGTATGAAGTTCTTTCAGATGGATTTTCCTTCTTAAATAATGTGGCTATACCTGATGCAGAATGCATGAAGGCATCCAAGAAATTAATGCAGGCTTATCCA